AGGTAGATATTCCAACCTCATTTTGTGAGGACTTTAAAATCTAGGTCTAAGTTTTTCATATGCGCAAGTTTCTATGCTTAAATACCCTATGGTAGATAACTTTCTATTAAGGCTAATCATTTGATGGTCACTGCTTAGCGAATCATGGGTTGCATTGTTTAATAGGGCTTTATAGATTTGGGGTGGATGATTGTTTAAGGGGATAAATCTAAGTTGATTTTACCTACTTGAGTTCTTTGTACTTTATTAAGTGCATTGCATGACCTACTGTTCAAGGATTATCAAGCAATTAGGAAACTTATGGGCTCTAGTTGTGACTGTAATTTATTGATGTCATTTTATAATAAAACTATCTAGGTAGAGGGCTCTGATCATAGCCGTTTACTAGTAGTTCCACTTGGTGGCAAATTTAAAGAGAGATCATCCTCTCGAATAGAGGATCAATTGTATCTTGCTATTTCGGTTTTTCGTTCGGATTTGAAGAGACACCCGAACATTTTAGGAAGGATTTTTGAGGGTTTTGGGTGGGAAATTTTAATGTAGGGGCTGTTTAGAGATTTCCTTTTGGATTGTTTGTATTAAATAGTTTGTTTTCCTAAGGTTAGGGCATCTTGAATTTGGCTAAAAATTGAGGTCTCTTAGGTTTAGGTTTTGGGCTCTAGCGGCGTCTAGAGATTTGTGAGAGATTGATCCTCCTCTCGAATAGAGGATCAATTGTATCTTGCTATTTCCTTCTGTTTCTTTGATTATTGCAATAAAAATTATTGTTTTTTCTAATTTTCATTGGAGTTTTGAGGTGTTTTATTGCGGTTTTTTCTGAAATTGATAGGATTTACTTGAAATCTTTAAGAGTTTCCTATCAACAACATACTCGTGCACGCTAAATGGAAATGAAAATGAAAAAGAAAAAGAAAAAGAAAAAGAAAAAAGAAAAAAGAAAATGAAACTAAAAATGATTGTAGGTATATTGGTACAAATACTTAGATGGTGCTCCTGTACAAAATGAAAGATGGAAAATGAATAACTGAAAAATGTACAAAATGAAGGTCAAAAAGGAATAATTAGAAAATGTACAAAATGAGTAAGTGTTATTTGAAAGAGAAAAATGTTGTTTAAAAATAAAATGATGTTAATTGTCAAAGAAAATCAAATGAATATAAATATTTATGTATGTACAATTACTACACTGTAAGTATAATTTTTTTCAGTTAAGTCTCCGGATAAGTTGAAATGGCAGAAAGAGAGGAGTGCGTCTTTAGAAGATGACGATTTAACGAAAATAGATAAAATATGGTTTATGTAAATGTTCAAATATGAAAATTGTATTAGCGACTCTTCATTTTTAAAATGGAATGTAGATGATAAACTGTTTTTGAATTTTGAAAGAAATGTTTTAATCGTCCGACTATTCGTTCCCGCCTTCTTAGTTCTAGTCCTCGGGTCAGGATGTGATAACTAGGAACCATTTTGATTCTTCATAAAGAGCCAAGGGACCATTTTTGTTTTTTTGTCTATGAATATATGTTGAATAACTAATTATAAGTGAGATTGTAGATTTCTTGATATGATTATTTGTCATTGCATACTCAATTTGAAGAATTTATATAAACATATGTATAGTTGGTCAATATTTTTTTAGAAATTTACGAACATTAGATCTATATGCTCAATTTGCTCTTTATATTAAAGATTTAGTATATCACTGGAAAATATGGATTCTTCTCAAGGAGAATTTCTTTCTTTTTATTTGCCCCAAACATCATTTTTTGATACACAATTTAAAAAAAAATGATTTCCATAATTTGTAATAACTCCTAACTCAATAATTGAATCAAACACAAAATATCATTAAAATAACTTTTTTTATTCTGAATGGATTTGGTCTTATCCAATTCTTTTAAACTCATAACTCGAATCCATACTTAAAGCGTTGGAAAGATTGCTGGAAAAAAAAAAATCCGATTTTCCTTACCACACAAAGTTCTTGCTCTCTTTTTCCCTTCCTTCCCTTCTTCTTTCCTTTACTTTTCTCCTTTTCTTCTTCTTTTCCTTTATTCTTCTGTTTATTCTTCCCTTCCTTTTAAATCCTTAATTTTAGCGATTCATTATTCTGACAGCCATGCATGAGTAGGAATGTGGAAGAATTGAATGAGCTATAGTAAAATAGTGTTGTGAATAGTGATATTAAACGATGAACAATAACATTAAGTTATTCAAATATGCTTTCATGAAAAGACTCGTTTGATTGATTTTTGCCCCTCTTTGGGGACTTTCTGTGTGTAGGCCGGGTTGTTTCCCAAGCAACGTGAATGTGTCATGTCATCCTCGAACCTCTATGATGGTTATTCTTCTACTCTGAAGTAAAGGTTGCTGATTTCATTTCATATTGATACCATGGCCTTAATTTTTGAAGCAAACTTTAGGGAAATAATTTTATAGATAACTTAAATAAATTAATATAATGATATTATTTATATATCTATATATTAAAATGCTCATAATGAAATTTAGAGTTTTATAAAAATAATTAGGATGATTTTTACGATGTATGAAAAATAGGATATAATTTTATGAACAATTTTAATTGCACCGTTTTGAAATTTTTAGTTTGACAAGATTTTTTCGTTAGAATTTTTTTATTAGTGGGGAAGGAATGGATTAGAAGTTCCACGTAGTGACGAGATATGAGTGTGGGTCATAGATGTCAATTGCGCATTTTTTATTTTGCTCCGTATTCAAAATGGCGCGCGCCGCGCCATGCGCCATGGCTCCACATAAAACTTTGCATCGTGCTACGCAATTATCCGTTGACAAGTATGGTGTGGACAATTAAGATTATGAGATTTAAGAGAGTTTTGATATGATTTGACTTTTATTTTCTTTTAAATTTTTAATTGATGATAATTATACCAATACTGATTAATTAGTGTATTGACTATTTTTTCGTAAGTTTTTCGTCGCTTCAAAAATGTTCTCATGGGTGGGTAAAATTTTTTAATTTTTTCTTGTGTGGCAACTCAGGCAATATGGGTACCCATTTTAGGCAACTTCAAAGTTCTATGTGTCGGCTTTGTCCGTTTTGTAAATGAGTGATGTTTACGTGATTTTGTTTGCGGTTGAGTTATGTTGAATTTAATTTGCTTGACAATGCGTTTGTTGTTCGACGTTTTGGTTTGGATTGATTGAATAGATTGCATGAGGCGCTTTTTGGTAATTTGATGCTTTGAATTCATCGGTGCTATCTGTTCTATGAAATGAGCGACAACGATATGATTTTTTTCTTTAGTCGATGCATTTTGAATCAGACTTACACGATATTGCACCTATTGTTCATCACTTTATTGAGTTTGATTGAATCGATTGGGAGGACTTTTATTTGGTAACTTGAACGCTACATACATCAGTGCAGTATATTTTTAAAAATGAGTGACAATTGGATAATTTGGAATTGATGTAATGCATTTTAGCTAGTTGCGTAATGTCATGTCCATAGTCCGTTGATTTCATTGTTGTTGATCGAGTTATATAGTAGAGCAGATATGGATGTGAGCAAAAACTTCTTATCCTAAATTCTTTGCTAATTTTTTTAACAGGAAAATGTTCTACGTTTATAATTTGTAACATGATTGTATATCAATCAAGATATTTGTTTTAGTTTCAAAATTTTCGTATACAGCATTGATATAAATTCATTGAATTCTTTTCTACATTCACAGGCCAGTGTTTATGCTGATTCTTCTGGAAGTTGCGCTGCATTCCTAGCTAATATGGATGACACAGATGAGAAGTGGATAGTATTCCAGAACAGATCCTATCACCTTCCAGCTTGGTCAGTTAGTGTACTTCCTGACTGCAAAACCATTGCCTTTAATACTGCAAAGGTGTTTTTCGTATATCTTTTTTCCCCTCCTTATATTCTTGCTCTGCTCTGGTACTAGAGCTTAAAATAAGATGATGTTCCAAGTTCTAGCATTGAAGGTTGTGTATTACTTGTGTTCAACACTTTGATGGAGTGATACTAGTGAAATGAAAAATATTCTATGTGAATGAAACGTTTAATGCTATTTATGATTTGTATAAATACTTATTTACATTTGATTTGCAATAGAATGGTGGAAGTGTTCTAAATCATTTATCATTCATGATTATGAGTATTTTTTCTGACTTATCATATAGATATACATGTTAATAAGGGCAATTGTTTTTAAAAAAAGTATAATTACTGTGAAATACATTTCTATGCATACTATGTACTTTCACAGTTTGTACCATACATTAAAATTATGGATGAGAGTGATTGAGCATAGGTTATGATGTTATTCTAATGTTGTTCAAAATTAATTTGGATTCATGCTAGGTAGGTCTACTATAGAAGCTATACATTTGTTGAGAGGTTTGATGAAGAAGTATAGAGAGAGTAAGAAGGATCTAAATATGATATTTATTGATTTAGAGAAAACATATAATAAAGTGGTAAGAGAAATGTTTTGGAGCGTTTTAGAAAAGAAAAGAAGTTAATAATGCTTATATTCAAGTGATTAAGGTTATGTATAGAGGAGTTGTTACTTTTGTTCAAACACAAGGTGGTTTGATCAAGTATTTTCCTATTTCATTTGATTTACATTATGGATCAGATTTAAGCCCATGACTTTTTTCTTTAGTCATGGATGTTCTTACTAGATATTTGTAAGAAGATGAACCTTGGTGTATGCTTTTTGTTGATGATATTCTTTCTTATTGATAAGACCGCAGTGGGAGTTGAAGGAAAATTTAAATTATGGAGGTCAACGTTAGAGTCTAAAGGCTTTTGTTTGACTAGATCTAAAACCGAATACATGGAGTGTAATTTTTGTAGTAATAGATCTAGTAGGAGCATTGTGACTTTGGGCAATCAAGTCATTAAAAGGAGCACAAGTTTTGGATATCTCGAGTCTATTGTGCAAAGTGATGGTGAAATAGTGGGGATATTATTAGTAGAATTTAAGTTGGAGGGTTGAAGTTAAGGGATGCATCAGGACTGTTGTGTGATAGAAAAGTATCCCTTAAAATTAAATGAAAATTTTTTATGGCATATAATGTTGGCCATTAAAAGAGAAACAAAAAAAAAAAGTTTAATGTTGTAGGGATGAGGATGCTCCGGTGGGTAGGTGTTTTTACACATAGAGACAGAATGCGAAATGTGTATATACATCAAAAGGTTGGAGTAGCTTTAGTGGCATATAAGATTAGAGAGAGTTACCTAAGATTGTTTGGTTACATAAAACATCGACTTTCTATTTACCTGGTTAGGAGAGTAGATGTATTAGATTTGACCTATGTTAAGAAAGGTAGAGGTAGATCTAAAAGGATTTGGTTAAAAAGTATATTAGAAATGACTTATTTCTATTATATTTAAATAAGAATTTGATTCTTAATAGGACACAATAAAGAAAAATGATTCATGTAGTTGACCCCACATAGTGAGATAAATGCTTGATGTTATTGTTGTACTATGTAGTATCACAATGCTGGTTTCCCATTTTTCTTAAGAGTTTGTTACAGAGTGTGAACCATATAGGGATCAAAGTTGGGTTAGATACGCCAATAGTCAAATCTATTTTCAGCTAAAAAAAACTTAACCCTATATTGAGGGTCAATTTCTTAGTATTTCTACACAAAAATATATTTCAACTATATGCTTATGGGACTAGCCACTAATCTTATGTACCTTATCAATCTACCCCTCATCAAAATTGGCAATCACTCCTCTTTAAATAGAAACATTAACAAATATTCTAGACCAAGCACCCACTTAATAATGCAGATTCATAGGAGTCACTTTTTTTTTGAATCTTGCTCAACCAGGTGGAAAAAGGCCTAGACCTCATGAGAACCACAAATTGTTGGAATGACAAAGATCTCACCAAATTGTCAGATATGATAACAGTTTCTAAGAAGTGTGAACCAAAAGGGGATTGAAGTTTGGCTAGACACTATAATGATCAAAAATACATTTTCAACCTTAAAGGTTAAGCTTCTGGGTGAGAGCCATCCAATTGATATTTCTACACTAATATTTTTATAACTATTTGACCAATACTTCATGTGCCTTAACAGCGTCATATAGTTTTTAATATGGACAATGATTTACAGCTTGGTGACCATTCGCAGATTTTGTCGAAACAAAGAAGAAATGAAAGAGAGGAAAAGGTTTATGATATTGGATAGTTTTAAAATGAATGGCATGCAACCTAGTAAAGTCTACACTATCTTTTGTTTGCTCAGCATACCATTCAATCTTTACATAATTTCAACATGCTTTCTAGATTTATGTGCATGCCTTTTCTCCGTGTCTAAAACAAGTGAAAACACAAGATGGTTTAATGCGATTAAAGGTTCACTTGGACTTTTTATTTTTTATTTTTTAAATTAGCAGAAAGCTTTTGTAAAGCAGGTGAACCTTATTTGATAAAAAGGCTGATTTGTCTTTTGAGAAATTTACTCCAAAAAAGCTGCCTTCAGAACATAGTTTCGAAATTGAAATTGCTTCAGAAGGCAGCTAACCATGCTTCGCAACCTCTTTCAATGGAGAAACCCAAAAATCCTAACCCTATATACGTAGAAAGCCTAAAACTATTTATATATTGCTTTAAACATATATGCTTTGGAAAAGGCATTTTACATTTATATAGCATATGATATCTGTTTTTCATGACTGTCTACAGGTTCGTTCTCAAATTTCCATGGTAGCTATGGTGCCTGAAAGTCTAGTAGCTTCAAAGACTATTCAGGAGAAGGGTTCTAATGGTCTACAATGGCATATTTACAAGGAAAAGACTGGGTCCGTAGAGAAAACTGACTTTGTGAGGCATGGATTTGCTGATCATCTTAATACAACAAAGGATGCCACCGATTATCTCTGGTATTCAACAAGGTTTGTTCCAACCCTACCATGGTTATGTGGAACAGCAGATAAGCATCTTTTTTCTCCCTCCTACATTTATTAATTGTGACATGAAAATCTTGATTTTGCATGAGGTTTGTAACTATATTATGCTATGTTTAGTAAACTCCATATGTTCATGCGCGCGGCGATCACCCCGAAAACCTTCGCTATATTCGGTTATTCTTCTTACGTGATTGACCATCGCCTAAATTTTTGTTTACTTGTGAAATCTAGTCATTGGTATAATTGATCAAGAAAAAGGGTATGTATCTTAATGTGTAACAAACGCTTAATGTTCTGTTAGTCACCCATAGACAAAATACTATTTAAACATGTTTACTGTGAAGGGTTAACTGTGATAGAGGGTGGTAATGCATTTATTTAAAATTTAGCATCTTATTTCTAGGCAGAAATAACAGACCTTTAAGTGTATAGATATAGATTATCATATTGAGTTTCTTGTGGCCCATTGATGAAGCGGAGATGGCTTTGCATTGTTATCAGGGTGCTCAATTGACTGGATATTTTGATGTATAGAGCATTGTTTTTGGATTTCCAATGCTCAAGCTTCCTATTTTCCTTTGCTGGTTAGCAATCGTTGGGTTCCCTCTGTTTTTGACGTCTTGATTGATGGATATCATTTTACTTAGAAGATGACCTAGTGAAGCACATATTGCACACAATAATGGGAACCTGTTGTAATGATTAAACCCTCATGTCTCTTTCCTTGGAAGCGGAAATAACAATAAGGAAGATGACCTAATGAAGCACATATTGCACACAATAATGGGAACCTGTTGTAATGATTAAACCCTCATGTCTCTTTCCTTGGAAGCGGAAATAACAATAAGTCTTTATATCACTATGTATGATCAATTACATGAATCATTTTTCTTTATTGTGTTATATTAAAAATCAAATTCTCATTTAAATCTAATTAAAAAAGGTCATTTTAATGCTTTCTATCCAAGTTTTGTTAGGTGTACCTCTACCTTTTTTAACATATACTATATCTAATACATTTACTCTTCTAACCGGGTCATCCGAAGACCCACATTTTATGTGAACAAACCATCTAAGACAAGTCTCTCTAATCTTATCTGCCAATGGGGCTATTCCAATCTTTTCACGTACATGCTTGTTTTGCATTTTATCTATAAGTGTAAAGCACTCATCCCACCTGAGCATCCTCATCTCTTCAACACTTAACTTAATTTTTTGACTTCTCTTTTAATGACCAACATTTTGGGCCATAAGCTTTGCAGGTCTCACCATCATCTAATAGAAATTTCCCTTAAGTTTGAGTGGTACTTTTCTACCACACAATGCAGTCCTTCACTTCAACCATCCAACTTGAATTTTATTGATAATATCCCTAATTATTTCACCATCGTTTTGAACAATCGATCCGAGATGTCTATAATGTGTACTCTTTCAATAACTTAATCACCCAAATTAACTATCCCCCTACTAAATATATTACTATTAAAATTATACTCATTGTATTCGGTTTTAGATCTACTCAAACGAAAGTTTTTAGACTCTAATGTTGACCTCAATAATTCATGTTTTCCTTCAACTTTCTCTATAGTTTTAATAACAAGAAGAATATCATCAACAATAAGCTTACATTAGCGTATGTTCTCTTGCAAATGTCTAGTAAGAACATTTAAGACTAAAGCAAAAAGATATGCGCTTAAAGCTGATCTTTGATGTAATCCAACTGGAAAAAAAAAATTAGTCAAATCATCTTGTGCTTGGACACCAATAACAACTCATGTATATATATCCTTAATCACTTGAATATAATCATTATTAAACTCGTTTCATTTCTAGAACTCTTAATAACACCTCTTTGAACTTTATTATATATACCTTCTCTAAGTCAATAAATATCATACGTAGATGCTTCTTGCTCTCTCTATACATGCCCATCAAACCTCTCAGTAAATGTATAGCTTCCAAAGTTGACCTACTTGGTATGAATCCAAAGTGATTTAGAGAAATATTAGTGTCATGTCATAACGTATGCTCAATTACTCTCTCCCATAATTTTAATATATGTCACATTAACCTAATTCCTTTATAATTCGCACTCTTATGCATCACTTTTATTCTAAAAAAATAGGTACCAACACACTCATCCATTCATCATACATCTTTTTAGTCGTCAAAGTAATATTAAAAATTTTAGTAAGCCAAAAAAATTCTTTGATCACCTGTGCATTTCCACACCTCTACTAGATATCATCAGGTGCTATTGCTTTTTTACAATTCTTTTTATTTAAAGCTTCTCCAACTTCGGTTTTCTGAAATGAAAATAAAAATAAAAATCTCAATATTAATTTAGGGTGTGAAGGTCACTAAAGTTAATTATATTCTCATAATCTTCATCGAAAAATTTATTGAAAGATCTCATCTACTTATGTTGAATATCCTCTTTTATGAAAAACATTTTTTAATCTTCATCCTTTATTATAACATTAACTTCCTCATAATTAACCCAAATCTTGAGATCTTGAATCTTACTCTAAATTTTTTTTATTAGCATTCTTTGATATAAGAATCGGTTCAATCGATTCAATTGAATTGTCCCTACCTAATAGCTAACTAGACGAAGCTGGTGTGATCGAGTGGCAAGCCGAGTGAGATGAAGGCGCGAGCAGGCATAGTTGGTCGGATTTTTGAGGGAATTAAAAGTATTTTTAAAATCAAAATTAAGTCAATTATAATATCACAATAAATTGGAGAAGATTGAAGGAAGTCCCGAGGTTGATCCGGTCCCCCAAAGCCCTCAGTCGTCGAGCTTATCTGATCAAGAGATTGAAGACTTGAAGATCCAATCTCCTCGCCGTTGATTTGTTCCAGTCGAGTCGAGCCACTCCTTACCTCCCGACACCGGGGAGGGGACGTCGAGAGGCTGTCAAAATTTTCTTAAAAAAAAGGACTTAGGTGGATTTTGGAGAACATTCAACTTGAACCAAATTGGACCACAGGAAACACGACTTATGATTGCCATTATATTGGACTAAATAATTAATGAAAATACAAATCATGAATTAGTAAGTTTAAGTGAAGATGTTAAGTAATCACAACCATTCAAGTGAATGTTAACATATGAACAAGGGATTCATGATAAATGGGGAACAAACCTTAAAATGACATATAGACAATGAATGATAAGTCAAAATGACTCAAATTATTCAATCAAAATAATAACATTAAATTAATCGAAATATAACAATATAGATTGTATTAATGCAAGTGATGCAATCTTGTTTCAAGAATTAAAGAAAATTAATAATTAATTTTGACTTCAATATACTATTAAAAAGGAATTTGGCAATATACAATGTTGGGATTATATAAGATCAAAGCATATAGGCTTGATGCATCCTCTAGCCAAACTAGAATCATGCCTTTAGTGTCTTTTGCTTGAAAACATTTATCATGCATCTCCTATTATCTTAGCAATGTGTGATTAAAGTTGGTTCTTTAAGAATTTTGAGAAAACTTCATTCAAACTAAGAATCTTGGCAGCATTCTCTTTCTATGGGATCAACTTTTATAGTAGCAAGTTTGTTTGCAATGATGAGTTTTGATGCACAAGAGTCATTCTATTGTCTATCAGATCTATATGAAATTCTTCAATCAATAGTTTTTAGGAGGTATATTCAAAGAGTTATTTTAATGCTATAAGATGTCTCTTTTGACTCAAATATACTATACCACTCCTATCTATTAACATCTTGATAAGAGCCTTATGTGGCTTCTTTTCAGCATTTTTGTATGATAACTACTCATCATTCCTTTAGGAGATATATCACTAATACGTAAGGAGAAGAAGCAATGAATCTATAGTATACATAACTTATCTATAGGAGATAACAGAAGATTCATAGCAACCAATGAAGTTCATTTACAAGCAAGAACATGATCTTCTATTGTTTATTGGATAAACATTCCTTACAAGCTATAGTAAATCATATGACAAGCTTGAGTAAATTAAATAACACATCTTCTACATATTACAACTCAAACCTGATTTAGAGACACGCCACTGGATCCGCAACATGTGTGCAAGCTGACAGAAGGCATTTGTAGGCCCCCTTAAATGAAGTCTCAGGCATTTCCTAAATAAAATCACTCTCACAAATTGATCATATTTAAATATTTTAAAATACCCCTTATATATCAAATATGATCACTTGAACTAACTAAATCCCTGCATGTGCTCCGACAAACCTATTACAAGTACAAACACCAATGTCTGAGAATGCTATGTAGGGTCAAATACTTTAACCCGCATGTGCTCCGATCGTCATATCTGAATCCCAAATCCAACGATTCGAGAATTCTGCGCGAGCCAAATATTCAAGTATCATCCTCCTCTTCGAAAGGACTGGAGTCGACCTGATTTGAATAATAAAATGCCCCTAAATACCCACATAGACCCCAACGAGCGTGTTATAAAAACACACGCAATATCTAGGGATACTGCGCGGATCAACAAGTAAAGTTAAGTATGAACCCGATCTTCTGTCTGCAAGTTGACAGAATCGACAAGGTTCAATACACAAATGCAAATGCCTATATGTCACCCCGATGATGGCCGTGTTGACCAAAAATCTCAGCCGAAGGGGTCAAATCTCAAATCTAAGAAAAGTATAAATTGCTAAAATAAAATCTATCAACCCTAAACTTAAAACTAAAACTCATTCACCTCCCGTATCCGTTTGTCAAGGATGATAAATTTGAAATTAATCTTAGCTCACAAAGAGCGAATGCATATCGGGTGTTTCACTACGATTCATCCTCAAATAGTCTCTTGCCAGCAGGGACGTGGCACGTGCCTTCTGATTGGGTGTTTTTTTCGCAAAATGACACCATTATATTACTATCACATCCAAAGTCCGTATGTTCCCTAAATGCTTCAAACCCTTGAGTTATGAATCATAGGGTATATTTGATAGGCACAAAGCCCTCTA